CTACTGGTATAGCAACGTCAAGAGAATTTGTAGGCATCTTGATGAAGGTTTCTCCCAAACACAAACGTTGTGCGTTGCTGATCTAGGTAATGAGATCTCACTCATTACCTTGAAACTCGAAGTGACGAATAAGTTGTCCCTTCAAGCTCTAGTCGATTGTGGGGCGTCTAACAATTTTGTGCGACGCCAATCGCTAGAAGATGGTCACTTTAAGTTCAGTGAATGTGACACACCTCCTACGAGGATGACGGTACGTCTTGCGACAGGCGCATCCGTAACCGTCATGAAGGGTATAGTGAAGATCCACTATACGCTAGAAGATACCCAATATGACGATGACTTTGTCGTATTGAATTTGGATGACAAATTTGATGTCATCCTTGGGATACCGTGGCTCAGAAGTTACGAACCACGGGTAAACTGGCAACATCGAACAGAAACGATGCCTGCCGCTTGTTCATCAGATGGCCATCTGATGAACGTTTTGGAGCGTCCACAAGCGTGTGGATGTACTACGAGTGAGTGCGATGGCCTCACTTGTGGTACGGTCGTTAGTACGACTGCACAAAACCTTAGTGTAACAAACAGTAACACTTCGGAGCAAGATTCCGGCGGCTGTGAGGAAACACAGGCTGCGCCGAAGGTCCACCACTTGAATAAGTCAAGCCCTTCTAGGCCTGAGAGAATAAGTCCCCAGGAAATGAAAGAGACATTGAATGTCATAGTCAATGACGGATCAAGTGTAGGCGCTTGTACAGTTGATCTGATCGCGCCTCCGAAGTTGACTTCGGAGATCACTCAGTTGCCAACGCTCGAACATAAAAGGTTCTTGCGTGATCTGCGTAGTGGCAAAGTCAAGCAGATCTGCGTACTCGTCGCTGACGACGAGTGCGTAGCCGACATAAGGTCAGCAACAATGTTTACCGAGAACGAGAGAGTTCTCAGTAGTTCATCGATGAATGAGAGTGACCTAGATGAAAAGACACGAGTTAAGCGATATGACTCTTTATCGTGGGAATCGCTCAAGACAAACCCTCTCTATGAAGATTTGGTTGAATTCAAGGATGTATTCCCTGAAACTGTTCCGTGCGAATTACCGAAGGATAGAGGTATTCGACACGAGGTCGAGCTTAAACCAGGCTCGAAGTACTGTGTCATGAAGCAGTGGCCACTACCTCGTGAACAAGTACTTGCGATCGACAAGTTATTTGCCGATCGTTTAGCTGCGGGCCATGTGACGGAATCAACTTCCCCACATAGCTCTCCGACCTTCTGTGCGCGAAAAGCAACAGGAGGGTGGCGGATAGTGCATGCATTTAACAAGTTGAATGCTGCAACGGTACCGGCTCAGACGCCGATACCAAGGAAGGGCGTAATCATTGATGGTTACGATCTTTTCGTCCATGGATTTGATAGATGGCTTCTATCAAATCCTTATGCGAGAACGGGACATACCCTATACCGCAGTGAGCACGCCTAGCGGCATGCTCTGGGAATGGCTAGTAATGCCACAAGGGTTTTGTAAGGCCCCTGCCACTTTCAAGAGATGTGTATCACATCTGTTGAGACCAGTACGAGAATTCGCGCCGAGTTATTTCGATGACGTATTCATCCATAGTCGGGCTATGTATGGAAATTCGGAAGTTGAGGTTCACAGATACCACGTCCGACAGGTTCTTACAATCATGCAAAAGCATCAGTTGTATGCAAACCTCAAGAAGTGTATATTTGCAGCAAGCGAAATACCACTTCTTGGGTGCATCGTTGGTAAGAACGGCGTACATCCTGATCCCGAAAAGATCAAGGCGATCACCGAATGGCCTGTGCCAGTTGATGTCAAAGGTCTCCATAAATTCCTTGGGCTAGCGGCGTAGTTGCACAAGTATTCACGCAATTATGCCGAGATGACTGTACACCTCTCTCATTTCTTGAAAAAGAACGCGAGGTGGTTATGGAACTCAGAATGTCAGCGCTCCTTTGATGGCATCAATAAGAGCTTGCTACAATCCCCAGTCCTGGCGATTGCCGATCAGGACAGGCCATTTCATGTGGTCTGTGATGCCAGCGATTTTGCAATCGGCTGTGCATTAATGCAGTATGATCTTGAAGGCGTTGAAAGCGTCGTCTGCTATCAGTCGCGTCAGCTGCAACCGGCTGAGCGGAACTATCCAGTGCATGACAAGAAACTTCTTGCCATAATGTATGCACTCGCGAAGTTCAGAGTCTATCTATTAGGAGATAGACCCTTCATTGTTTATACTGACCATGCGTCGTTACGCACGGCAGTAAACAGCCCGCACCTTTCACAACAAATGGCGCGGTGGTTGTCATTCTTTGCGGAATACAACTTTACGGTAGAGTACAAACCAGGACGACTTAATGTCGTCGCTGATGCACTCTCACGTCGGCCCGACTTTGAACCAGTCGTGAAACCCAACAGTGAGACAGCCACTGTTGCGGTTATGACGTCCACAGTACCATCTTCAACATTACATGATGATGTGAGGAGGGCTTATGCCCAAGATGGTGAGATTGTAAAGTTGCTGACATATCTCTCACAGCCATCTCGAGAATCGTTGAAACGATTATCGTCTGCGTATCGATCTGCATCAGATTGATACATTACTCGCAACGGTTTACTGCATTATACAGCCGTTACTGGTGACACACCACGTGTTGTCATCCCAGATGATACTGATCTGCGTTTGCGGATCATGTTCGAGCATCAAGACGCTCCTATAGGAGGATATCGTGGCCGGGAGAAAACGTATCTCACGGTGAGTCGAGACTTTTACTGGCCCTGCCAGTATCAGTTTGTGCGCAAGTGTGTTCGCGCATGCGAAGTCTGTCAACGAGTGAAGTCAAGTCCTTCACTGCGTGCACCTTTACAGCCTCTACCGTTTCCGGCTGAGTGCTGGGAATCCATCTCAATGGATTTCGTCTTCGGGTTACCCAAAGACGCACGCGGGAATACGGGTATTCTCGTATTTGTTGACAGATTCAGCAAAATGGTCCACCTAGTGGCTGTACCAGAGTCAATCACAGCAAGTGGCTGTGCTTGTGTCTTTATTGACACCATCTTCCGACTTCATGGGTTGCCCCGTGAACTCGTATAAAACAGAGATCCACGATTCACTGCTGATTTCTGGCGTTCCGTGTTCAAATCACTCGGAACGCGCTTGAAGATGTCGACATCTGATCATCCAGAGTCAGATAATCAGACGGAACGTGCCAATCGTGTCCTCGAAGAGATACTTCGAGGATACTTACACTCCTTTAAGAGTTAAAGTGAGTTCTTGCCCATGGTAGAGTTTGCCATTAACAACTCGGTGCATGCGTACACGACACATACACCGTTTTACGTGAATGGCTTACGCCATCCGCTTATACCCACCTTAATAGAGTGTAACTCTGGTTAAAGGGGGGGAGACTCGTGCGAGCAAAACCGATTTGTTTCACGCTCATAACGCTCTGACGATGAGGTCATTGCATTTGATGCCGATATCGACAACATCGATATCGAAGAAGATGATGCCAGTGAGAGCGCGGAAGCCCTCACTGAAGAAACGATTGATGTCTCTGCAGTGCACTCACAGCGCACTGAAGCTAACGAGTCATCAGATGAGTTCATACTGGCTCGTGAAACGGTATTCCGTTTTGTGCAAGACTACATCGCCGAAGCGGTGGATAAGCAAAAGAAAAACGCAGACAAGATTGGAAGGGTAAACGCTCTTCTATTTAATAATGGTGACTTAATCCCACTGTCTACGGTTAACCTACCAAAGCATGTAGTGACTAACTTGGGTAGTAGTAAACTACTACCCAAGTACATCGGCCCATTTCGTGTATTGCACCGCCTAGGCAACGCATACACGATCGAACTGCCACGTAAGATGCGAACGCATCCCACGTTTTACGTTGGTCGGCTTAAGCCGTACCATCAGTACGCTGCTTCTTCCGATGAAGAACGCCCTTGCGCTCAAGCATCTCGCAGAGGGCCTTGTGCTCCCGATGGTGGCCATCGACAAGGGTCTGAAGAGCAGTTATCTCAGCACGAGACCGATCAACAATCCCACGAGCTACCCTTAGCTCGTCACGCAGGGATGTCAAAGCTCTCTCGTTCTCAAGCTGAGCAAAAGCAAACTCAGCTCGATGCTTCGAGACAGTGTCCGCCAGCTGAAGACGCCTGTCCCGCTCATGCTCGAGGTCGCCGCGCAACGAAAGCGTTACGCGATCAAAGAAGCTCTCGGGGACACACGCTCCCCCACGATAGTCTGGAGAGCGTCTTCCCTCCACCTCCACCTCCATTGGAGGACTTTCGCGGTGGCCAGCGCTATCTGGTTGAGCAGCTATTGAAACACCGCGATGTGAACGGACGTCGGACGAGTTACCTCTTCCGGTGGCGCGGCTATCCCCCGTCCTGGGATACTTGGGAGCCCCGCTCCCGACTAATGATTGACGTACTGGGTCTGGTCGAGCAGTACGACGCGGCACATCCTGTGCCGCAGAAGGAACGCTGGAGAAAGTCTTCCCGGCACGGTCGTAAAGGGATTTCAGGTTGTCAATCCCTTCGTACATCTCACTAGAGATACGTACGCGCCACCACGGGCTATTAGCGAGGAAAGCCTCCTTAGGTACGCGCGCATAGTTGTTTACACAACAAGGGCACGGGTCTCCCTAAAAGAGACAGGGTAACCCAACCTCCTAAGACAGACGATGCAACTTATAGCGTGCACCTGTCGGGGTTCTTTTCTCAAACTTATCACGAGCTTTGGTAAGTTTGTCGTTCCAAACGTCACGACTTACATCCTCAAGGTTATGGATGTAAGCGTTCCACGCTTGAAGAAGTGACGGACCATCACGTTTGTGATTCCCACTGTACCATCGGTGCTTGAAGAAAGCATCGATGAAGAATTCATTCTCAGTGTGATAGTCTTTCACACTGGGGTCAAGGTGATGGATCCTTGATAAATCGAACAATCGTGTTCGATAGCGATCACTTATCGCTGCCGACAAGCGATCCATGACCGACATTGGAGGCAGCCATGCTTTCTTTTCGGGAGTGAGACGCAACATACTGCGGTCCCGCTCTTCTTGCGACGTGCCGACAGAAGCTCTGGGCACTCGCTGTGAAGTGGTGTCCGTAGGAGAACCGACACCACTGTGAGCGCCCGAGTCTTGTGACCTCGAGCGCCTTCGCTTTGGCGATGGTCATCTGATTCGTCAGATGAACCGAATATGATACGACGAGTAGCATCATCCATGCCACGCTTGGCAGGCGGCTTGGTTTCAACCGCCTTCGATACGGATCCCTCTTCCGTATCAGGAGAGTATGAGACACCGAGCTCATACTCTGAGAAGACATGAGTGTCTTCATAACGAGCGCCTGCATCACCAGGTGATATAGACTGAGACACTATGGCAACCGATGGCACATCGGTTGCAGAGGTTTCTGCTTCGGCGTCTTCACAGAGTTGTGCAGACGCGCTCTCAGCGGCCTTGTTCTCGCACCTCATGGGCTTGTTTACCATGCGATGAAATTAATGGACCGTGGACTCGGACCACCAAGTGCAAACCCCGTCCCAAATGATTTGGGACGAGTATCCATTCAGACAATCAGTCACTAAAGTGACTGATGGTTAAGGGGGGGGGTGATGTAAGCAGGTGAACCGTTACGAACAATTTATAAGAAATTGTTAATAGAATATAACTATAAGAGTTATATTCTCAGAATATTGTCACAAGGACAAATTTTCTGCAGCACTTACGAGTAGTTCCTAATTGGTTCATACAGGCCATTATATCAACCGACGAAGACGCGCCACGACAGACGCACGCAATGAGTGGTGAGCAGATAGTTGATTTACACATTTGTATTTAGACATAGTTAGATGAAGATAAACTGGGGGTTTATTAACATACATTAACTATGATAGATACAGTTCTACTTTTTACTTTAACCAAGTACTCGCTTCTTCTACCGTCTTCCTCTGCACGTACGAGTGTACGTGAAGTTAAGAGGCACCGCCTTATTCTGTCGTCAGAATAAGTAGCTTGTACTGTCATCAGTACAAGCTTCAAAGTGTCCCGTTACACCAGTTTAGTTCATGCACACAAGGTGCGCGCATCACGTCTACCTCAAAAATTCTGGCACTGCAACTTCTCTTTCCAAGCGCAAACAAGAGGTCCATATCAGGATCGTAGAGCGGAAAAAACTGGCCACCACCTCCTGCATCCAGTCTTTCTCAATGTAAGCACTTGGCCATGCGTCGAGGGTCCCACAACTTGAGCTCTCGGTCCTGCCTCAGCGTATCGCTTCCACACGTGACAAAATGCTGCGTCCGTCCACACCTATCCACACCCACGGGTCGTGTTCCTGAATGTGCCTTTGGCACTTTGACGTCATATTCTCACGCGGGTCCACCATCCTCACAGCTTGGCCCTGCGTTGCCGCTATCACAGCTCGACCATCCCAAGTCCAGTCCGCAGACGTCAACGAAGCGCCTTGTCCCACTGCTCTCTCCAAGCCCATCGTCGAAGTATGCACGTCATACAGTATCAGCACTCCTCGTCTCGAGTACGTGGCCTACACCGACTCAGCCGTCGGATGCGGCATAATACCCACTACACTGCCCGCTGTTTTATGAGAAAACACCGTCACAGGCGTCACAAGCTCTCCATCCTCTCACCCGGTGACCCCACTCGCCGGATCTTCACCGTCGCCACAGCACTGCTAGCAGAGAGCAACAGGTCTTCACGAAAACGCGAGAAAGCTATATCTGTCGTCACGCGTCCCGTCTTGTGTGCGCGCACGACAGCGGCCGTGTCTCTGAAGACTCCTGACTCTCTTTCTCAGCTGCGTCAATCCCACTCAGAGCTTCCACTTGGATTGAGCCGCCATGAGTATCTTCCGACTGAACAAATGCAAAGTGAGCGGACGTAGCAGCAAGAGCGGGACGTTCAGAACTGGCACTTGGAAGAGACACGGGCAAGTGCGTCAAACCTCGGGACACAGGGGCGAGTCGCGTGCTCTCCACGTGACGAAACTTGCTGGACAAATGGACACAGGAGAGAGCGACAGAGACAGAGAGAGGAAAAGAGAGGGGAGGGACAGAGCGCGTTAGTTATGCTGAGCCTTAGCAAGAGAGAGAGAGAGAGGAAGGTGGAGACGGGGTTACCTTGCGTGGGACGCAGTCATGAATGTGCTGACAACACAGTTGTTATGGCGGACATTGTGAAAATTTTGGTGATTTAATTTCTTTCATAATTTTATCAATTTTGTCAGAATCTTGTACTCGATCAGTGTTGAAAGGTATGGCACGGGAGTGACGAGGAGACCAGAAGAGACCGGAGGGAGCGAAGAGGCTTAAGGAGCGGAGCAGAGAAGACTTGCTCGGCAGAAGGAGAATTCGAAAGTGATTGATTATCGGGGCTTAGTACTTACTACATGATTTATATGTGCACCACATATAAATCATGTGAAGCGTCTCATCATTCTACGCGTCTAATCAACTATGGTAATCACCGTAAGAACTACGTCGTAAATACTAAGCTGAACAGGCGGTTCGGATTGGACCGGTCACGGTTACCAATACTGGTAGGAAACCGATGACCGTCAACACGCCCCCTCAATGCGAACACGCACAAATCCCGAGAGCCGCCGTCATCTCCTTGTGGCGTGGCCCGTGAAGTCCCTTCGTCATGATGTCCGCTAACATCACCGCAGTTTCACAGTACTTGAGCTTCACTTCACCGCGCTTGACCTCATCACGGATGTGATGATACTTAAGTCAATGTTCTTGGCACGGCCGTGGGTGACCGGGTTCTTCGTCATCTATATACACGACTGATTGTCTTCATGGATCATAAATTTTAGTCCTTCTTCATTGGCAGCCATCATGATCTCACACAGTAGACGATGAATCCACTTGCCCTCTTGAATCGCCAAGCTGAGTGCGATGTATTCGGCTTCACTCGTGGACAACGAACACTTGGCTGTTTCTTGCTGCCTCAACTCACTGGCGCACTTAACAGCATGAATACGTAACCAGACGTCGACTTACGATCATCGAGGTCACCGGCCCAGTCTGCATCCGAGTAGCCACGAAAGTCGATCTTTGCATCTGACTTGTAGCAGATCCGTGCATCTTAGTGCCTTGTAGGTAGCGGAAGATGCGCTTGACCGCAACCCAGTGTTCTTCTTGGGGGTTCTCCATGAATCGCGACACACATCCCACGGCGAACGCAATATCCGGGCGCGTTGCAGTGGTCAGGTGCATCAACGCATCAACAGCTTCGCGAAAAGGAGCATCGACCTTGGTGACTGCACCACTTGAAACAAGTCGAGAGCTCATGTCGACTGGACTTGCGACGGCCTTGCAATCATCCATGCCAAAGCGCTTGAGTATGTCATCTACAGACCGACGCTGACATAGTGTCACGCTTCCATCTGCGCCGTCCAAAAGATCGATTTCAAGCACGAATGCACACTTGCCGCTGTCAGTCATTTCGAATTGTGTCTTCAGGTCGGTATTGTTACGTGCAATTAGCTCGCATGAACTACCGGTGATCAACATGTCATCCACATACACCAGCAGTAGCACGCATTGCCCTTCCACAATCCTTATGTAGAGACACGGGTCGAGGCTTGACGCTTGAAATCCAATAGCACACACGAACTCGTCAAACGTTTCGTCCCATACGCGCGACGCTTGCTTTAGTCCGTAGATTGCCTTCACCAACTCCAGACAATCGAAGGAGCCCTCCAATTCTACGCCTTCAGGGATGACGCAGAACACTTGTTCCTTCATGACACCATGCAGGAACGCCGTCACCACGTCGAGTTGGTCGATGGTCCATCCGAAATAATTGGCGACTGCAATCACCATGCGCGGCGTCACGTACTTGGCGACGGGCGAGAATGTTTCCGTGTAGTCCATCCCGTATTGTTGCTTGAAACCCTTTGCCACAAGACGCGCCTTGTACTTGTCAATTGATCCGTCCGCTTTGCGCTTGATCTTGAAGACCCACTTCGTGCCAATGGAGCAATGTCCTTTAGGTAGCTTGGCTGCGCGGAATACTTCACGAAGTCGCACTGACTCAAGTTCCGCACGGATAGCTTCGCGCCAATGCGCTTGATCAGGAACGCTCACCGCATCTTTAAAAGTCGATGGCTCGGATAAGTCCACTGCTGTTTCGATGGCGTTCGCACTCGCACGCCAAAACACAGGCGGAGTCGATGCATCAGCATTCTTTGTTTCTTCATATTCTTCTTGGTGGGTCGTGTGGTTGTCTGGCGCACTTGATTCTTCCAGTCCAGGCCGTTGACGCACTGTGCGCGTGGGTGGAGCTGGTTATCCTTCATCATGGGGACGACTCTTGCGCTTGCCTGTTTGCTTGTACTGCGCTTGACCTGGCGCTTCATCATCCAGATCGAGGGAGTCGAAGTCAAGGTCATCGGCGTCTTCAGCGGTGGTAGGCGGCGAAAGTCCAAAGGCGGACTCGTCAAAGTTGACATCGCGGCTGATGAACACCTGCCCCGCCTCGATGTCATAAACGCGATACGCTTTGGATGCTTCTTCGTAGCCCAAGAATATCCCAGTGCGAGCCTTGGGGTCCCACTTGGGCCGCTTCTCCTTCGGTGTCAGTATGCAAACCTGACAACCGAACACCTGCATGTGCTTAACACTTGGCTTGAAGTTGTGCACGATCTCGAACGGAGTCTTGTGCATAACTTTAGGTGACGGCAGACGGTTCTTGACGTAGATTGCCGTCATTACTGCTTCGGCCAGAAGCACTTATCCAACTTAGCATGGTGGAGCATGCTGCGACCAATTGTGACGATAGTCCGAATGGCACGCTCTGCCGTGCCGTTGGTCTGGTGTGCATATGGCGCCGTCGTCTGCTGCTCAATGCCTTGATCTTCGTAGAATTCTTGAAGCAAGTTGGTTGCGAACTCGCGGGCTCTGTCGTGTCGGACGAGCTTGACCTTCTTGCCAAATTGCGCTTGCACCATCTTGATGTATCGTGTGATGTAGTTTTCACTCTCCGACTTCACACGTAGACAGAAGCCCTTCATGCATCCACTGGATTCGTCAACGATCAGCAGTAGATACTTGCTACCACCCAGAGAATTCATCTCCATGGGTCCGCAGATGTCGACGTGAAGTAGCTCGAAGGTGTCGCATCTGCGCTTGTCATGATTGCTTGGGAATGGTTTTTGGACCATTTTCTTTTGCTGGCACCCTCGACATGTACCTGATCCACTTGACTTGAGAGGTACCTATACATCCTTGATCATGTTCGTGGCCACCATTTTGCGAAGCACATCAGCTGGAGCGTGTCCCATCCGCGCATGTAATTTGACACCGTTGCTTCCGTTTGTCGTCGCATTGGCCGATCGGTGAGCTGTGTGAAGCCAGTAAAGGCATCCACAAGATCTGCTGTTGCCACCACTTGTTGCGATCCTTTGAGAGCGACAAACATCTTGGTCCAGTCGAACACGACTTGAAACTTTCCGTGCTCGTTGATCTGCGGTTCCGAAAGTAGATTCTTGCTCATGCTTGGTACGTAAAGCACGTTCTTGATCTCGATCTCGCGCTCTTCACCGTCGGGCAGAACCACCTTTTCAAAGATGGTTCCAACATCCTTGATGGTCACTTTGTTGCCATTTGCCACCAAAATTTCACCGTCGTTGCGCTTGTTCAGTCTTGCAAACTTGGTCTTGTCGTGGCATATGTGGTGTGTTGCACCACTGTCGACGGCCCACATTCCGAACACGTACTTCTTCGCTGAGAGTCCACACTCTAGCGAAACTGCAAACGCTACTTGATCGTAGTCGCTGTCTTCATCACGATATTGTCCCCACTGGACATTGTTTCCCCCGCGTCCACGACCATTGCCGCCGCGTCGGGCTCCTCGACTTTCATTCTTCTGCTTGGTCCAACAGCGATCGACGGTGCGTCCCACCTTCCCACAGTAGGTGCACTTGTATGGCTCGCGCTCAGTGTTGAAGGACTTGGCTGTATCTTCAGTTTTGACCATCGTCGCTGTTGTTGTCACCTTCTCCCCTTGGCACTTGGTGTGCTCATTCGTGAGCACTTTCACCACATCTTGGGTACGAAGCTCTACGCTGCTCATCTCCAAGTTTAGTATAACGTTCTCAAAACTTTTAGGGAGACTGAGCAGAAGGCAAATTGCGACGTCCTCGTCCTCCATCTTTGCACCGATGCTGCTAAGCTTGGCGGTGATGTTCAGGACCTCGTTGCAGTGATGAATGACGTTGGCGCCTTCATCCATCTTCAGGCTGAAGAGTTGACGCTTGAGGTAGATCCTTCCCGCTTTCTGGGACCCACCGTACAGCACCTTCAGAATTTGCCACGCAACCCACGCTTCCTCGCAGTTTGTCAACCATATGGTGGTAGTCCGCACCCATGTGCAGCAACATCATTTTAAACGCGATGTTGCTGGCCTTGACGTAGTCGTCCTGCGCTCGAGGGTCCACGAACGTCGGGGAGCTCTCCCGGTTGACCACATGCCACACCGACTTGGTGAGGAACACACCACGCATGTATCGACTCCAAGTCGCATAGTTGTCCCCATCGAATTTATCGATGGAGACGTTGGAGGATGCGTGGGCGGCAGAAGACATTGCGCTTGGGCCCATAACCTGTTAAAAGGTATGGCACGGGAGTGACGAGAAGACCGGAAGAGACCGGAGGGAGCGAAGAGGCTTGAGGAGCGGAGCAGAGAAGACTTGCTCGGCAGAAGTAGAATTCGAAAGTGATTGATTATCGGGGCTTAGTACTTACTACATGATTTATATGTAGTCCACATATAAATCATGTGAAGCGTCTCATCATTCTACGCGTCTAATCAACTATGGTAACTACGTAAGAACTGCGTCGTAAATACTAAGCTGAACAGGCGGCTCGGATTGGACCGGTCACGGTTACCAATACTGGTAGGAAACCGATGACCGTCAACAATTAGTATCCGAAAAAAAGAATGAACTTCTCGTATTACGTCTAAGGCCATATTTATATCAGCCGGAGAAGATATTGTTTAATGGATTTTAAAAAAAATCTCGGTATAAACTCCAATCAACGGTTGTTGCTAGTTCATTTTAAAAATTTAGTAATTTAATTTTTTTTGATTTCTGAGAATTGTTTTTTTCTTATTTAGTTAATTAAGGCTGTTGATTTGTTATTTATTCGACCTTCTTGTGACGAAACTCGACATTGGTGTGGACGACACCAAACACTCACTCCTCGTTTGCTTCAAGCAAACAAACGGCTCGAGATGCTGCGTCGGGTGTGGCAGCGAGCAGGTATGTGGCAGTCACCCGACGCGGTTCTATTGCGCCGATTCTGTTGATGCACAGGACCGCGTCGACAAGATCGTTCCTCTTCTCGCGCTTCGGCGTTGCGTCCGCGCGCGCGGTCGCCAGTCAATCAGACGCTGCCGAAAAAACGCTCCGCAGTCCGAACCAATTGAACGTTTTATTGTCCAATCAAACGCCGCCCACGACTTTTGTAGCCACTTGTCGCGCGTTGCGCGTCATTGACGAGACGGCGCTATTGGTGACGATTGACGTCCGACGTGGAACGTGGCACTGCAGCGACGACTGGAGGCTCAAGACGAACGCGTGGCAGCGGAGCTCTTGGGTTTAATCGCGAGTTGTAGTTGCGAAAATGCAAGTGTACCCATGTGGACCGATTTGTTTTTTACAGTGTGACGACAGCGTTCTTTACGCGGGTTTCGAACGGATGAGATGCAGGAACTCTTGAGACAGTTGAAGCGGAGATACGGACCGCACTTTGTAGCCCGCGTGCTCGTAGACGTGGTCATGGCTGTGCCAATATCAATATGTTTGCATCTGCTCACGAGCTGCTGCTGTATCAGCAGACGTTGTGGTCGGAGATTTGCTCTGGTACTACTACTACAGACGAGACATTGACGACGGGGTGGAGCGAGCAGAGTAAAGCGCTGATGCCGCCATCAGTGGTTGGCCACTTGATGGCCAAGATGATGCACAGGAAGAAGCACGGTCAAGTGCTGGCGCTTGCACGCACGTAGTTTGCTAGTGCCGCGTTCGATCCAGTGCGAGATTTCCAGCAACAAGGGTTCCTTGAACTGTTTAAAGCAAGTGTGTACACACAACAGAGTCCGAGGAATGTGGTGCACGTGTTTTCGGACTATGTGGAGGGAACTTGCCGTGCAGCAGGAGGCAAGGTGGAGAGAGTGAGGACACGGGTGCTCGAGCGAGGCTTTGGAGCTGCGATTCACTGCTGTGTAAAGCTTGAGGAATGTTCGCTGGCGTCGCATTGTTATGAAGTGATGGAAAGCACACGAGAGAGGCTCGTTTGTGCTGGGGACGGCTTACCGGTGGACGACGCGATCGATGAAGGTGCAGAGAGGGTTGGTATCGTGGATGAAGTGCTGCTAGCTGATGAAAATATATACGTCAACGTGTTGAAAGCATGTATGGAGATCGAGGATTTCTCCACGTTTAAAGATGCGTTCCGCGGGATGGTAGCTCGAGGTGTGGCTCGTAGTGCTGGATTCGGGTCAGCGATTCGTTATTGTCACAAGCATTTGGATCCAGTGTTCCTTGAAGAAGTGTTGGACGGGGTATTCTGGACAGAACAGAAGCTTGCAGGTTCCTGGACACTAGAGGTAGAAAACTGTAACGATGCGCTTGGCTGTTTTGCCGCTACGAAAAGACCGGACCAAGCCAAGGAGCTGTTCTCGCAAATGCTGAACAACTCGTTGATAGTGACCGGCATATTACGATGCTTGAGATGGTGGAGAGTCACTGCAACGCCTCAATCGAGGAGGTGTTTCATCTCTTGGACGTGTTTCTTGAGTGGAAGCTAACATCGAATCTTCAGGTGTTCACATCGCTGCTGTCCATCTACATGCGCCGTCGTGAAGTAGGCAATGCTGTTGCGCTCATTGGTGCGATGGAAGAGCATGGTATCGTTCAGGATGTGAAGGCATTAACGACTGTGGCGTTCATTCATGCATCTCGCGGTGACTGAAGGCTGTGGGAGACGTTTTACGAGATGTGGCGAGTCAAGGTGTTGCTACCGACAGGATGTTCTTTGACTACGTCCTCAACGCACTGTACGGGTCGTGCGGTGTCGACATGTGTTCTCGCTCTTGCGTGAGCTGAGTGCAAACGAGCTGGCGATTCCAGACGGGCTGTACATCTCGCTAATTGATCCCGGGACCACGCTTGGTTTACTTTGTAGTGGTACGCGTGACATGTGCATTTTCTTGTGTTCAATCGGCGTTGGAACCTACGGAAAACATGTACTTCAACAACCGATCAGATTCGAGAGCGCGTCCTGTGTCGATATCGAGAAATGTAGCAGCCATTGCTACACGAATTATGCATTAGCCAATGTGCAAGTCGTTGCTGCGTCAATACTTTTAGCATGCAATGAATTCACTTTTACACCTCGGGTGCCTTCATGTTACAATGAAGCCGATACGTACACCACATCCCCTGCTCGAGTCTGCTCACTAGCCCTTCTCCTTCGCTTAATGATACTTTCACGCACCAGGCTGCCAGAGGCTTCAATATGACTTGCCGTTTCCATTCGTGACCACTTGTCCGCAACCCGCTGAGCGTGACTTAGTTTTTCATCTGAAGCATTGACTATCACGGACGTGCGAATGAACCTGAATCTTACCGGCGTGGACGTGGCTCCAAGAAAACTGTCAGCTGTGTCGCTGCAGCCGGATCGACTCGCAGCTGTAGAAGCGAATTAGACGAGTTTAGCTGAATAAGAATATATTCGCGTTTACAGAAGGCTGTCGCATCAGTACAGAGTATTGTTGCTGTGACTGCGCATGTTTCTTGAGTACGCTTTTATTGTTAACATCAACAAAGTCGCGAACCATGTTTAACAGATAGATATATTAAAAACGTTTATCGCTAGACTACGGGCTAAGACATTGTAAGTGTAAACTAGTCGACACTTGAGTTGGTTGAACAGAACGAATCAGCTCGATCGTAGTGGCTCAATTGGCGTTGGCGCTTGTTCTTTAAATGGAGCAGTGTCCGGCTGTACCACGTCCTATCTTCACCATCTTCATCAGGATCGCGAGTAGCAACGAGCTGTGTGAACTCGTTGGTATTAATCTCGTTGCAAATAGGCTTCAACTTGAACCTGTTCACCGGATGGGCATCTGCCATACCTGCTTGGGTAGCATGGCACTTGTTGTGCCTGCGTGTTTCTTTTAGCGGGCGCAGTGCGTGGCTACACCCAATGGTGCAGTGCTTCTCATCACTTGAGCGCAGCTTGGTGAGCTGGTTGAAGTCCCAGTCAGTGGGACTAACGCTCTTCTCGTAGATGCCGCATGCTTTGGAAGCAATCTCCGACAGCACACTCAGCACATGACGGATGCTCACTTCAACGAGGTTGTACAAGCTCTGGATCTCGATAGTAATCCACTAGTAAACACATGCACACAGAAGAGAAACGTCAGCAACAAATAAATTGATAGATCGAGAAATGAATCATGCACTCACCATGATCATTCAAGCTGGTGAAGTTGTTAACGCGATTGTGTTGAAGACTCGAGTGTTGCTGATGTCGATTTTTTCAGAATGAAGTCGTCCTCGCTCATGCCTTTGCTCCGACCCGTGAGATGCACCGACCCAAGTCTGCGACGTGGGAGTAAGTACGCATTTCTCTCACCAATCAGGCATACTCTCCATGCTTGTTCAACCCATCAAGCGACTAAACTTCCTGCAGTCTCTTACTTCTCTTCTATACTGAGGTCTGGTCATCTCATGTACCTCGTCCCAAGACCGACTACATGGCTCACGTCATCTTTACCTACCTGACCTATAGAATAGTAGTCAAAATAAGTATAATAAACACCTGCACAACGTCATCTCCTGCCAGCACTCTCTGCATGATGTCAGCACTCTCTACATTCAGTCACTAGTCTCTGATATCCTTTCACCTAAGTGACGTTAAGAGTTGCCGCGGGAGCGTTTCAGATTCTATTGTTGATCGAAATGCGTACACATGTGGCATTTTTCGACAGAAAACACGGTCTCAAGTCACGCGCAGCAGCAGACGAGCACTTGTGCCGATTATGGCAGTGAACGAAACGACACGAGTAATCAACTTGATGATTACGATGACGGTTACAAAGCGGACGTTGAACAGAGGTGCTGCTCGCCCAATTGAATGGATCATCGAGCTCTTGTAGCAGTCAAATGATTGAAAGTCGGTGGCAGTAAAGGAGACGACAACTGGTGAGGTGCAAATGACAAAGGAGACGCCAAAGAAGACCACAAGACAGAAGGCGAACGAAAGTGCCAAATCTGTGCTGCATTCTTCGGTTTCGCGTGATTTGGTGCCGCACATTCATTATCGTAAACGTCATCCTGTCAACACTGCAGAAGGTTTTCATCTCGAGACAAAGCTCTCGTGGTCGTGGGTTTGGAACCCACGCTGCTTGCGTTGACTCACTCGCTCTTGCACTTCGACAAAGTCACGGCAGCTGAGCTAGACCTCGATCCAGATGCTGGGAAGTCCACTGTTGAGCTCGTTCAAGCGCGTGGCTACGTAGTGGAGACGCACAATGTCACGACAATAGATGGATACATCCTCTCCATACATCGCTTACCAATGTCGTACAGAGAAAGCCAAGCAGATGCCAACAACAACGACAAGGCAGACCGAAACAAACCAGCTGTTTTCGTCCAGCATGAAATGGTGGCCAGTAGTTTCGCATGGGTGTGCGACTCCCGGAACCACAGTCTCGCCTACGTGCTTGCTGATGCTGGCTACGATGTCTGGCTTGGGAATAATCGCGGCAATACGTACTCGTCCAGCCACGTTAAGTACACGACCAAAGACACTGCGTTCTGGGACTTTTCATGGGAAGACATGGGCAAGTTTGACGTGCCAGCAACGCTCAACTATGCTCTGGAGACATCGGGACGGGAGACACTGGCTCTTGTAGGGTATTCGCAGGGGTCAACTCAGGCATTCGTTGCGTTTGCTGCAAAAACCAGATCCTCGCTCGATCCGTGTCCTATTGTGCGACTCTGGGACCTGTTGCCTGGCTAGGCGATACAGATTCGAGGACGTCCAAGCTCCTTGCTCGTGCCTACTTCGACAAGGTCCTCGAGGCCTCTGGTCAAGTCCAGCTCTTTTCGCATAACGCGTTGCTACAAAAAATCATTCGACCGGCTGCATGTCACATGGGTCCGGAATTGTGCGCCTCGGGGTTTGCACTCGTAGTCAAATCTACGGAGAACTTGAACGCCTCGTACAGGCGATTACGCTTCAAATGTGCCCTCAGGAACCTCCGTCAAGAGTATGCACCACTATGCCCAAAGCATCCGCGACAACACCTTTTCAGCGTTCGACTATGGCTGCAGATGTCCTCGCACGCTTGGCATTCACCTGTGTAGCATGGAGTACCCTCGCACTGGATTATTTACTGGTGGAACGACACCTTTGCCACTCGAGCTGACATCAATCAGTTACGATCTGCGTTGCCGTCCAGCACAATTGTCGATGAGAAAGAGATCAGCAGCTTTAGCCATTTGGACTTTGTTTGGGCTGTTCAAGCCAACGAAAAGCTCTACCAACCCCTGCTTAAGCAGCTTGAGCAGTATGTCGACACCGGATATTAGCATAGATGGAACAAAAAACAATGAAATGCCGTGTGAAAGAAGAACGATACGGACCGTTATTTTGTGGGTAAATATGCCTTGGGCGCGGCGCGGCGTGGCGCGGCACGGCGAACCGCACCAACAAATATGCTTAAACAAGCAAATCAGTGTACCCCACTGATCTAGCCAGCTCCTGCACTTTCGGGACTTCGTTTTTGCGATTGAATTGCGTCAGCACCGATATCAAATCTTCATACATTTCCACCTCAACGCGCGGAGTCTGGGGCGGCACGCCCTGGTGTAACAGCACAAACGTCCGCACAAACTCCGAAATCTCGCCGTCCGAGAGACAACGCATCATCAACGCGTACAACTGCTTCGATGAGAGATGGTAGCCTTCGCACTCCATGTTGTACGCAATATGCAGCGTGCGCTCAATCAAACCAAACGTGGTACCGAGATCAATTAGCGAGATGTACAGCCCGTCTGGAATCGCCAGATTGTTTGCACTCAGCTCACGCAAGAGCGAGAAACACATGTCGGTACCGCACGACCCGTACAGTGCGTTGAGGACGTAGTCAAAGAACATCCTGTCGGTAGCAACACACCTTGACTAGCCATATCTCGTAAAACGTCTTCCACAGCCTTCAAGTCACCGCGAGATGCATGAATGAACGCCATAGTCGTGAATGCCTTCACATCCTGAACGATACCATGCTCTCCCATCGCACCAATGAGCGCAACAGCATTGCCTACTTCACGACGGCGCATGTAGATGGACAGCAGCGATGTGAACATCTGAAGATCCGATGTTAGCTTCCACTCAAGAAACACGTCCATGAGATTAAACGCCTCCTTGATCGAGGCTTTGCGGTGACTCTCCACCATCTCAAGCATCGTAATATGCCGGGCACTATCGACGAGTTGTTCAGCATTTCCGAGAACAGCTCCTTGGCTTGGTCCAGTCTATTCGTAGCAGCAAATCAGCCAAGCGCATCGTTACAGTTTTCTACCTCTAGTGTCCAGGCACCTGCAAGCTTCTGTTCTGTCCAGAATACCACGTCCAACACTTCTTCAAGGAACAATGGATCGAAGTGCTTGTGACGATAACGAATCGCTGACCCGAATCCAGCACTACGAGCCACACCTCGAGCTACCATCCCGCGGAACGCATCTTCAAACGTGGAGAAATCCTCGATCTCCGTACATGCTTTCAACACGTTGACGTATATATTTTCATCAGCTAGCAGCACTTCATCCACGATACCAACCCTCTCTGCAGCTTCATCGATCGCGTCGTCCACCGGTAAGCCGTCCCCAGCACAAACGAGCCTCTCTCGTGTGCTTTCCATCACTTCATAACAATGCAACGCCAGCGAATATTCATCAAGCTTTACACAGCAGTGAATCACAGCTACAAAGCCTCGCTCGAGCACTCGTGTCCTCACTCTCTCCACCTTGCCTCCTGCTGCACGGCAAGTTCCCTCCACATAGTCCGAAAACACGTGCACCACATTCCTCGGACTCTGTTGTGTGTACACACTTGCTTTAAACAGTTCAAGGAACCCTTGCTGCTGGAAATCTCGCACTGGATCGAACGCGGCACTAGCAAACTACGTGCGTGCAAGCGCCAGCACTTGACCGTGCTTCTTCCTGTGCATCATCTTGGCCATCAAGTGGCCAACCACTGATGGCGGCATCAGCGCTTTACTCTGCCCGCTCCACCCCGTCGTCAATGTCTCGTCTGTAGTAGTAGGAGTAGTAGTACCAGAGCAAATCTCCGACCACAACGTCTGCTGATACAGCAGCAGCTCGTAAGCATCTGCAAACTTCTTGATATTGGCACAGCCATGACCACGTCTACGAGCACGCGGGCTACAAATTGCGGTCCGTATCTCCGCTTTAACTGTCTCAAGAGTTCCTGCATCTCATCCGTTCGAAACCCGCGTAAAGAACGCTGTCGTCACACTGTAAAAAACAAATCGGTCCACATGGGTACACTTGCATTTTCGCAACTACAACTCGCGATTAGACCCAAGAGCTCCGCTGTCACGCGTTCGTCTTGAGCCTCCAGTCGTCGCTGCAGTGCCACGTTCCACGTCGGACGTCAATCGTCATCAATAGCGCCGTCTCGTCAATGACGCGCAACGCGCGACAAGTGGCTACAAAAGTCGTGGGCGGCGTTTGATTGGACAATAGAACGTTCAATTGGTTCGGACTGCGGAGCGTTTTTCGGCAGCGTCTGATTGACTAGCGACCGCGCGCGCGGACGCAACGCCGAAGCGCGTGGCGAGGACCGATCTTGTCGACGCGGCAGCACACAGTCCTGTGCATTGACAGAATCGGCGCAATAGAACCGCGTCGGGTGACTGCCACATACCTGCTCGCTGCCACACCCGACGCAGCATCTCGAGCCGTTTGTTTGCTTGAAACAAACGAGGAGTGAGTGTTTGGTGTCGTCCACACCAACGTCGAGTTTCGTCACAAGCAGGTCGATTAAATAACAAATCAAAAGCCTTAATTAACTAAATAAGGAAAAAAACAATTCTCAGAAATCAAAAAAAACTTAAATTACTAAATTTTTAAAATGAATGAGCAACAGCCGTTGATTGGAGTTTATACTGAGGTTTTTTTTAAAATCCATTAAACAATATCTTCTCCGGCTGACATAAATATGGCCTTAGACGTAATACGAGAAGTTCATTCTTTTTTATCGTAAACTAATCAAGTACAATATTCTGAAAAATTAGATAAAATTATGAAAGATATAATTTAATTTAAAAATTTACAATGTCCGCCACAGCAACTGACTCGTCAGCACACTCATGACTGCGTCCCACGCGAGGTAAATCTATTGGGGTGAATCGTTACATAACAATTTATAAGAAATTGTTCATAGAATATAACTATAAGAGTTATATTCTCAGAATATTGTCATAAGGACAAATTTTCTGCAGCACTTACGAGTAGTTCCTAATTGGTTGATATAGGTCAATCTACCAACCAACGAAGACGCGCCACGACAGACGCACGCAGTGAGTGGTGAGCAGATAATTGATTTACACATTTGTATTTAGACATAGTTAGATGAGGATAAATAGTGGTTTATGAACAGACATTAACTATGATAAATACAGTTCTGCTTTTTACTTTAACCAAGTACTCGTTTCTTCTTACCGTCTTCCTCTGCACGTAACAGAGTACGTGAAGTGACGAGGCACCTCCTTATTTTGTCGTCAGAAAAAGTAGCTTGTACTGTCATCAGTACAAGCTTCAGGGTGCCCCGTTACACCTGGTAGCACTTCGTAGTCCGTCCAAGGACCGCGTTCACATCTAACATGAATATGTTAGATGATGAAGATTACCAAAGCTTTCACGCTACGCGTGACGGCTACTCCCATTTGAGCGATGTCGAATGGGATGCGGCTGAACGGATGGGTTCAGCCATGGGCATCCATGCTGTTAGCGTCATGCTAGAGGCTCTCAATAGAGATGCCCAACATGCTACTATCGCCAAGTTTATTCAAAATGAACTTGACGCAGAACGCGAGAAAGTAGCCTTGCTTCACCAACAAGGTTCTCAACAACCAGAAAAATGTTGAGAGAACAGGGTGCTCAACAGTTTGAACTGTTGAGACAGCAGCAGGCTGCTGCTGGTGGGTCGATGCACTCGCGTCGACCCGAGACCTTGAAGAGTTACATCTCCAAGTATAGGGGAGTCGAAGAGGACGCCCTCTTGAGATTGTTCGTCGAATTAGACGACGATAAAGGTCGCGTCGCACCGACGACGGGGATATGCAAGTTGCAATTGCCCAATCAAATATGGCAGGACGTGCCAAGACTTGGGCTTTGGGGCTCAAGTTACACGATCCATATGCGGTTGGGTCGTTGGAAGTCTTCAAGTCGCGGCTCAGACAAACGTTTGAACCGCCTAGAGCTAAGTTCAGAGCTCGAACCGAGCTCTTGAAGCTCAAACAGGGTAAGCGTGATGTGCACGCTTACGCACAACATATACGACATCTTACGAGTTGTATAAGTTCCAACCCGGTTGATGAACACACGTTGGTTTCGGTGCTCATGCAGGGTCTTGCAGATGGTCCCATCAAGACTCACCTGATCCGACTTGAACTAGATTCACTAGAACAAGCCGTTTCCATTGCGGAACAGGAAGACTTCAGTCTGAGACAGGCTCGCGCCAGCTCGACATCATATCGTCAACCGAGACGATATGACAGAGGAGGTCCGGAGTCGATGGAACTCTGTTATGTAGAGAACGAGAAGGCTCGCTCTACAGACTACAAGAAGTTGCAGAAATGCAACAGATGTCAAAATACAGGACACTACGCTTACGAGTGTAGTGCCCCTCGTCCAGTGTCTCGCAACACTGGGCGTAGTGACCGTCCACCCATGAGAAAGGGGCAGGGACGCGGGTCCGCTGTTGGTGCAAGACGCAGCAACGGGATGGACCGGCAAAAAACGGACAGGATCAGTAGGTGCGGAGCACCCTACTGGTCCAGCAAAGTCAAGAGAATTTGTAGGCCTCTTGATGAAGGTTGCTCCCAACACACAAACGTTGTGCGTTGCTGCTCTAGGTAATGAGGTCTCACTCATTACCTTGAAACTCGAAGTGACGAATAAGTTGTCCCTTCAAGCTCTAGTCAATTGTGGGGCGTCCAACAATTTTGTGCAACGCCAATCGCTAGAAGATGTTCACTTTAAGTTCGGTGAATGTGACACACCTCCTACGAGGATGACGGTACGTCTTGCGACAGGCGCATCCGTAACCGTCATGAAGCGTATAGTGAAGATCCACTATACGATAGAAGATACCCAATATGACGATGACATTGTCGTATTGGATTTGGATGACAAATTTGATGTCGTCCTTGGAATACCGTGGCTCAGAAGGTACGAACCACGGGTAAACTGGCAACATCGAACAGAAACGATACCTGCCGCTTGTTCATTAGATGGCCGTCTGATGAACGTTTTGAAGCGTCCACAAGCGTGTAGATGTACTACGAGTGAGTGCGATGGCCTCACTTGTGGTACGGTCGTTAGTACGACTGCACAAAACCTTAGTGTAACAAACAGTTACACTTCGGAGCAAGATTCCGGCGGCTGTGAGGACTCACAGGCTGCGCCGAAGGTCCACCACTCGAATAAGTCGAGCCCTTCTAGGCCTGATGGAATAAGTCCCCAGGAAATGAAAGAGACATTGAATGTCATAGTTAATGATGGATCAAGTGTGGACGCTTACACACTTGATCTGATCGCGCCTCCGAAGTTGACTTCGGAGATCACTCAGCTGCCAACGCTCGAACATAAAAGGTTCTTGCGTGATCTGCGTAGTGGCAAAGTCAAGCAGATCGGCGTACTCGTCGCTGACGACGAGTGTGTAGCCGACATAAGGTCAGCAACAATGTTTACTGAGAACGAGAGAGTTCTCAGTAATTCATCGATGGACGAGAGCGTTCCGATAAAGAGACACGAGTTGAGCGATATGACTCCCAATCGCGGAAATCGCTCAAGACAAATCCTCTCTATGAAGATTTGGTTGAATTCAAGGATGTATTCCCTGAAACTGTTCCGTGCGAATTACCGAAGGATAAAGGTATTCGACACGAGGTCGAGCTTAAACCAGGCTCGAATTACTGTGTCATGAAGCAGTGGCCACTGCCTCGTGAACAAGTACTTGCGATCGACAAGTTCTTTGCCGATCGTTTAGCTGCGGGCCATGTGAGGGAATCAACTTCCCCACATAGCTCTCCGACCTTCTGTGTGCGAAAAGCAAAAGGAGGGTGGCGGATATTGCATGCATTTAACAAGTTGAATGCTGCAACGGCACCGGATCAGACGCCGATACCAAGGAAGGACGTAATCATTGATGGTATGTCAAAGAGTACCATCTTTTCGTCCATGGATTTGATGGATGGCTTCTATCAAATCCTTATGCGAGAACGGGACATACCCTATACCGCAGTTAGCACGCCTAGCGGCATGCTCTGGGAATGGCTAGTAATGCCACAAGGACTTAGAAATGCCTCTGCCACGTTCAACAGATGTGTATCACATCTGTTGAGACCAGTACGAGAATTCGCGCCGAGTTATTTCGATGACGTATTCATCCATAGTCGGGCTATGTATGGAAGTCGGATGTTGAGGTTCACAGGTACCACGTCCGACAGGTTCTTACAATCATGCGAAAGCATCAATTGTATGCAAACCTCAAGAAGGGTATATTTGCTGCAAGCGAAATTCCACTTCTTGGGTGCATCGTTGGTGAGGACGGTGTGCGTCCTGATCCCGAAAAGATCAAGGCGATCACCAACTGGCCTGTGCCGGTTGATGTCAAAGGTCTTCGAAAATTCCTTGGGCTAGCGGCGTATTTGCATAAGTATTCACGCAATTACGCCGAGATGACTGTGCACCTCTCTCGTTTGTTGAAAAAGAACGCGAGGTGGTTATGGAGCGCAGAATGTCAGCGCTCCTTTGATGGTATCAAGCAGAGCTTGATACAATCCCCAGTCCTAGCGATTGCCGATCAGGACAGGCCATTTCATGTGGTCTGTGATGCCAGCGATTTCGCAATCGACTGTGCATTAATGCAGTACGATCTTGAAGGCGTTGAACGTGTCGTCTGCTATCAGTCGCGTCAGCTGCAACCAGCTGAACGGAACTATCCCGTGCATGACAAAGAACTCCTTGCCATAATGTATGCACTCGCGAAGCTTAGAGTCTATCTATTACGAGATAGACCCTTCATTGTTTACACTGACCATGCGTCATTACGCACGGCAGTAAACAGCCCGCACCTTTCACTACGAATTGCGCGGTGGTTGTCATTCTTTGCAGAATACAACGTTACGGTCGAGTACAAACCAGGACGACTTAATGTCGTCGCTGATGCACTCTCACGTCGGCCCGACTTTGAACCAGTCATTAAACGCAACATTGACACAGCCACTGTTGCGGTTATGACGTCACCCATACCATCTTCAACGTAATATGATGATGTGAGGCGGGAATATGCTCAAGACGGTGAGATTGTAAAGTTGCTGACATATCTCTCACAGCCATCTCGAGAATCGTTGAAACGATTATCGTCTGCGTATCGATCTGCATCAGATTGATACATTACTCGCAACGGTTTACTGCATTATACAGCCGTTACTGGTGACACACCACGTGTTGTCATCCCAGATGATACTGATCTGCGTTTGCGGATCATGTTCGAGCATCACGATGCTCCTATAGGAGGATATCGTGGCCGGGAGAAAACGTATCTCACGGTGAGTCGAGACTTTTACTGTCCCTGCCAGTATCAGTTTGTGCGCAAGTATGTTCGCGCATGCGAAGTCTGCCAACGAGTGAAGTCAAGTCCTTCACTGCGTGCACCTTTACAGCCTCTACCGGTTCCGGCTGAGTGCTGGGAATCCATCTCAATGGATTTCGTCTTCGGGTTACCCAAAGACGCACGCAAGAACACGGGTATTCTCGTATTTGTTGACAGATTCAGCAAAATGGTCCACCTAGTGGCTGTACTAGAGTCAATCACGGCAAGTGGCTGTGCTTGTGTCTTTATCGACACCATCTTCCGACTTCATGGGTTGCCCCGTGAACTCGTGTCAGACAGAGATCCACGATTCACTGCTGATTTCTGGCGTTCCGTGTTCAAATCACTCGGAACGCGCTTGAAGATGTTGACATCTGATCATCCATAGTCAGGTAATCAGATGGAACGCGCCAATCGTGTCCTCGAAGAGATACTTCGAGGATACGTACACTCCTTTAAGAGTTGGAGTGAGTTCTTGCCAATGGTAGAGTTTGCCATTAACAACTCGGTGCATGCGTCCACGACACATACACCGTTTTACGTGAATGGCTTGCCCCATCCGCGTGTACCCACCTTACTCGATTGTAACTCTGGTTTAAGGGGGGGGAGAGACTCGCGCGAGCAAAAACCGATTTGGCACACGCTCATCACGCTCTGATGATGAGGTCATTGCGTTTGATGCCGATATCGATAACATCGATATCGAAGAAGATGATGCCAGTGAGAGTGCGGAAGCCCTCACTGAAGAACAGATTGATGTCGCTGCAGTGCACTCACAGCGCACTGAAGCTAACGAGTCATCAGATGAGTTCATACTGGCTGGTGAAACGGTAGTCAGTTTTGTGCAAGACTCCATCGCCGAAGCGGTGGATAAGCAAAAGCAAAACGCTGATAAGAATGGAAGAGCAAACACTATTTTATTTAATAAAGGTGACTTAGTCCTACTGTATACGGTTAATCTACCAAAGCATGTAGTGACTAACTTGGGTAGTAGTAAACTTCTACCCAAGTACATCGGCCCATTTCGTGTATTGCATCGCCTAGGCAATGCATACACGATCGAGTTGCCACGTAAGATGCGAACGCATCCCACGTTTTATGTTGGTCGGCTTAAGCCGTACCATCAGTACGCTGCTTCTTCCGATGAAGAACGCCCTTGCGCTCAAGCATCTCGCAGAGAGCCTTGTGCTCCTGATGGTGGGCATCGACAAGGGTCTGAAGAGCAGCTATCTCATCCCGAGACCGATCAACAATCCCACGAGCTACCCTTAGCTCGTCACGAAGAGATGTCAGTGATCTCTCGTTCTCGAGCTGAGCAAAGGCAAACTCAGCTCGATGCTTCAAGACAGTGTCCGCCAGCTGGAGACGCCTATCCCGCTCATGCTCGAGGTCGCCGCGCAACGAAAGAGATACGCGATCAAAGAAGCTCTCGGGAACACACGCTCCCCCACGATAGTCTGGAGAGCGTCTTCCCTCCACCTCCACCTCCATTGGAGGACTTTCGCGGTGGCCAGCGCTATCTGGTTGAGCAGCTATTGAAACACCGCGATGTGAACGGACGTCGGACGAGTTACCTCTTCCGGTGGCGCGGCTATCCCCCGTCCTGGGATACTTGGGAGCCCCGCTCCCGACTAATGGTTGACGTACTGGGTCTGGTCGAGCAGTACGACGCGGCACATCCTGTGCCGCAGAAGGAACGCTGGAGAAAGTCTTCCCGGCACGGTCGTAAAGGGATTTCAGGTTGTCAATCCCTTCGTACATCTCACTAGAGATACGTACGCGCCACCACGGGCTATTAGCGAGGAAAGCCTCCTTAGGTACGCGCGCAGAGTTGTTTGCACAACAAGGGCACGGGTCTCCCCAAGAGAGGCAGGGTAACCCAACCTCATAAGACAGACGATGCAACTTATAGCGTGCACCTGTCGGGGTTCTTTTCTCAAACTTATCACGAGATTTGGTAAGTTTGTCGTTACAAACGTCACGACCTACATCCTCAAGGTTATGGATGTAAGCGTTCCACGCTTGAAGAAGTGAGGGACCATCACGTTTGTGATTCCCACTGTACCATCGGTGCTCAAAGAAAGCATCGATGAAGAAATCATTCTCAGTGTGATAGTCTTTCACACTGGGGTCAAGGTGATGGATCCTTGATAAATCGAACAATCGTGTTCGATAGCGATCACTTGTCACCGCCGACAAGCGATCCATGACCGACATTGGAGGCAGCCATGCTTTCTTTTCGGGAGTGAGACGCAACACACTGCGGTCCCGCTCTTCTTGCGACGAACCGACAGAAGTACTGGGCACTCGCTGCGAAGTGGTGTCCGTAGGAGAACCGACACCACTGTGAGCGCCCGAGTCTTGTGACCTCGAGCGCCTTCGCTTTGGCGATGGTCATCTGATTCGTCAGATGAACCGAAGATGCTACGACGAGTATCATCATCCATGCCACGCCGGGCAGGCGGCTAGGTTTCAACCGCCTTCGCTACGGATCCCTCTTCCGTATCAGGAGAGTATGAGACACCGAGCTCATACTCTGAGAAGACATGATTGTCTTCATGACGAGCGCCTGCATCACCAGGTGATATAGACTGAGACACTATGACAACCGATGACACATCGGTTGCAGAGGTTTCTGCTTCGGCGTCTTCACAGAGTTGTGCAGACGCGCTCTCAGCGGCCTTGTTCTCGCACCTCATGGGCTTGTTTACCATGCGATGAAATTAATGGACTGTGGACTCGGACCACCAAGTGCAAACCCCGTCCCAAATGATTTGGGACGAGTATCCATTCAGACAATCAGTCACTAAAGTGACTGATGGTAAAGGGGGGGGGTGATGTAAGCAGTTGAAACGTTTTATACAATTTATTAGAAATTGTTAATAGAATATAACTATAAGAGTTATATTCTCAGAATATTGTCACAAAGACAAATTTTCTGCAGCACTTACGAGTAGTTCCTAATTGGTTGATATAGGCCATTATATCAACCAACGAGGACGCGCCACGACAGACGCACGCAATGAGTGGTGAGCAGATAATTGATTTACACATTTGTATTTAGACATAGTTAGATGAAGATAAATAGTGATTTATTGCAGACATTAACTATGATAAATACAGTTCTACTTTTTACTTTAACCAAGTACTCGCTTCTTCTACCGTCTTCCTCTGCACGTACGAGTGTACGTGAAGTTAAGAGGCACCGCCTTATTCTGTCGTCAGAATAAGTAGCTTGTACTGTCATCAGTACAAGCTTCAAAGTGTCCCGTTACATCAGTTTAGTTCATGCACACAAGGTGCGCGCATCACGTCTACCTCAAAAATTCTGGCACTGCAACTTCTCTTTCCAAGCGCAAACAAGAGGTCCATATCAGGATCGTAGAGCGGAAAAAACTGGCCACCACCTCCTGCATCCAGTCTTTCTCAATGTAAGCACTTGGCCATGCGTCGAGGGTCCCACAACTTGAGCTCTCGGTCCTGCCTCAGCGTATCGCTTCCACACGTGACAAAATGCTGCGTCCGTCCACACCTATCCACACCCACGGGTCGTGTTCCTGAATGTGCCTTTGGCACTTTGACGTCATATTCTCACGCGGGTCCACCATCCTCACAGCTTGGCCCTGCGTTGCCGCTATCACAGCTCGACCATCCCAAGTCCAGTCCGCAGACGTCAACGAAGCGCCTTGTTCCACTGCTCTCTCCAAGCCCATCGTCGAAGTATGCACGTCATACAGTATCAGCACTCCTCGTCTCGAGTACGTGGCCTACACCGACTCAGCCGTCGGATGCGGCATAATACCCACTACACTGCCCGCTGTTTTATGAGAAAACACCGTCACAGGCGTCACAAGCTCTCCATCTCTCACCCGGTGACCCCACTCGCTGGATCTTCACCGTCGCCACAGCACTGCTAGCAGAGAGCAACAGGTCTTCACGAAACGCGAGAAAGCTACATCTGTCGTCACGCGTCCCGTCTTGTGTGCGCGCACGACAGCGGCCGTGTCTCTGAAGACTCCTGACTCTCTTTCTCAGCTGCGTCAATCCCACTCAGAGCTTCCACTTGGATTGAGCCGCCATGAGTATCTTCCGACTGAACAAATGCAAAGTGAGCGGACGTAGCAGCAAGAGCGGGACGTTCAGAACTGGCACTTGGAAGAGACACGGGCAAGTGCGTCAAACCTCGGGACACAGGGGCGAGTCGCGTGCTCTCCACGTGACGAAACTTGCTGGACAAATGGACACAGGAGAGAGCGACAGAGACAGAGAGAGGAAAAGAGAGGGGAGGGACAGAGCGCGTTAGTTATGCTGAGCCTTAGCAAGAGAGAGAGAGAGAGGAAGGTGGAGACGGGGTTACCTTGCGTGGGACGCAGTCATGAATGTGCTGACGATTCAGTTGCTATGGCGGACATTGTGAAAATTTTGGTGATTTAATTTCTTTCATAATTTTATCAATTTTGTCAGAATCTTGTACTCGATCAGTGTTGAAAGGTATGGCACGGGAGTGAAGAGGAGACCAGAAGAGACCGGAGGGAGCGAAGAGGATTAAGGAGCGGAGTAGAGAAGACTTGCTCGGCAGAAGGAGAATTCGAAAGTGAATGATTATCGGGGCTTAGTACTTACTACATGATTTATATGTGCACCACATATAAATCATGTGAAGCGTCTCATCATTCTACGCGTCTAATCAACTATGGTAATCACCGTAAGAACTACGTCGTAAATACTAAGCTGAACAGGCGGTTCGGATTGGACCGGTCACGGTTACCAATACTGGTAGGAAACCGATGACCGTCAACACGCCCCCTCAATGCGAACACGCACAAATCCCGAGAGCCGCCGTCATCTCCTTGTGGCGTGGCCCGTGAAGTCCCTTCGTCATGATGTCCGCTAACATCACCGCAGTTTCACAGTACTTGAGCTTCACTTCACCGCGCTTGACCTCATCACGGATGTGATGATACTTAAGTCAATGTGCTTGGCACGGCCGTGGGTGACCGGGTTCTTCGTCATCTATATACACGACTAATTGTCTTCATGGATCATAAATTTTAGTCCTTCTTCATTGGCAGCCATCATGATCTCACACAGTAGACGATGAATCCACTTGCCCTCTTGAATCGCCAAGCTGAGTGCGATGTATTCGGCTTCACTCGTGGACAACGAACACTTGGCTGTTTCTTGCTGCCTCAACTCACTGGCGCACCCAACAGCATGAATACGTAACCAGACGTCGACTTACGATCATCGAGGTCACCGGCCCAGTCTGCATCCGAGTAGCCACGAAAGTCGATCTTTGCATCTGACTTGTAGCAGATCCGTGCATCTTAGTGCCTTGTAGGTAGCGGAAGATGCGCTTGACCGCAACCCAGTGTTCTTCTTGAGGGTTCTCCATGAATCGCGACACACATCCCACGGCGAACGCAATATCCGGGCGCGTTGCAGTGGTCAGGTGCATCAACGCATCAACAGCTTCGCGAAAAGGAGCATCGACCTTGGTGACTTCACCACTTGAAACAAGTCGAGAGCTCATGTCGACTGGACTTGCGACGGCCTTGCAATCATCCATGCCAAAGCGCTTGAGTATTTCATCTACAGATCGACGCTGACATAGTGTCACGCTTCCATCTGCGCCGTCCAAAAGATCGATTTCAAGCACGAATGCACACTTGCCGCTGTCAGTCATCTCGAATTGTGTCTTCAGGTCGGTCTTGTTACGTGCAATTAGCTCGCATGAACTACCGGTGATCAACATGTCATCCACATACACCAGCAGTAGCACGCATTGCCCTTCCACAATCCTTATGTAGAGACACGGGTCGAGGCTTGACGCTTGAAATCCAATAGCACACACGAACTCGTCGAACGTTTCGTCCCATACGCGCGACGCTTGCTTTAATACGTAGATTGCCTTCACCAACTCCAGACAATCGAAGGAGCCCTCCAATTCTACGCCTTCAGGGATGACGCAGAACACTTGTTCCTTCATGACACCATGCAGGAACGCCGTCACCACGTCGAGTTGGTCGATGGTCCATCCGAAATAATTGGCGACTGCAATCACCATGCGCGGCGTCACGTACTTGGCGACGGGCGAGAATGTTTCCGTGTAGTCCATCCCGTATTGTTGCTTGAAACCCTTTGCCACAAGACGCGCCTTGTACTTGTCAATTGATCCGTCCGCTTTGCGCTTGATCTTGAAGACCCACTTCGTGCCAATGGAGCAATGTCCTTTAGGTAGCTTGGCTGCGCGGAATACTTCACGAAGTCGCACTGACTCAAGTTCCGCACGGATAGCTTCGCGCCAATGCGCTTGATCAGGAACGCTCACCGCATCTTTAAAAGTCGATGGCTCGGATAAGTCCACTGCTGTTTCGATGGCGTTCGCACTCGCACGCCAAAACACAGGCGGAGTCGATGCATCAGCATTCTTTGTTTCTTCATATTCTTCTTGGTGGGTCGTGTGGTTGTCTGGCGCACTTGATTCTTCCAGTCCAGGCCGTTGACGCACTGTGCGCGTGGGTGGAGCTGGTTATCCTTCATCATGGGGACGACTCTTGCGCTTGCCTGTTTGCTTGTACTGCGCTTGACCTGGCGCTTCATCATCCAGATCGAGGGAGTTGAAGTCAAGGTCATCGGCGTCTTCAGCGGTGGTAGGCGGCGAAAGTCCAAAGGCGGACTCGTCAAAGTTGACATCGCGGCTGATGAACACCTGCCCCGCCTCGATGTCATAAACGCGATACGCTTTGGATGCTTCTTCGTAGCCCAAGAATATCCCAGTGCGAGCCTTGGGGTCCCACTTGGGCCGCTTCTCCTTCGGTGTCAGTATGCAAACCTGACAACCGAACACCTGCATGTGCTTAACACTTGGCTTGGAGTTGTGGACGATCTCGAACGGAGTCTTGTGCATAACTTTAGGTGACGGCAGACGGTTCTTGACGTAGATTGCCGTCATTACTGCTTCGGCCAGAAGCACTTATCCAACTTAGCATGGTGGAGCATGCTGCGACCAATTGTGACGATAGTCCGAATGGCACGCTCTGCCGTGCCGTTGGTCTGGTGTGCATATGGCGCTGTCGTCTGCTGCTCAATGCCTTGATCTTCGTAGAATTCTTGAAGCAAGTTGGTTGCGAACTCGCGGGCTCTGTCGTGTCGGACGAGCTTGACCTTCTTGCCAAATTGCGCTTGCACCATCTTGATGTATCGTGTGATGTAGTTTTCACTCTCCGACTTCACACGTAGACAGAAGCCCTTCATGCATCCACTGGATTCGTCAACGATCAGCAGTAGATACTTGCTACCACCCAGAGAATTCATCTCCATGGGTCCGCAGATGTCGAAGTGTAGCAACTCGAACGTGTCGTAACTTCGCTTGTCATGATTGCTTGGGAATGGTTTTTGGACCATTTTCTTTTGCTGGCACCCTCGACATGTACCTGATCCACTTGACTTGAGAGGTACTCCCACATCTTTGATCATGTTCGTGGCCACCATTTTGCGAAGCACATCAGCTGGAGCGTGTCCCATCCGCGCATGTAATTTGACACCGTTGCTTCCGTTTGTTGTCGCATTGGCCGATCGGTGAGCTGTGTGAAGCCAGTAAAGGCATCCACAAGATCTGCTGTTGCCACCACTTGTTACGATCCTTTGAGAGCGACAAACATCTTGGTCCAGTCGAACACGACTTGAAACTTTCCGTGCTCGTTGATCTGCGGTTCCAAAAGCAGATTCTTGCTCATGCTTGGTACGTAAAGCACGTTCTTGATCTCGATCTCGCGCTCTTCACCGTCGGGCAGAACCACCTTTTCAAAGATGGTTCCAACATCCTTGATGGCCACTTTGTTGCCATTTGCCACCAAGATTTCACCGTCGTTGCGCTTGTTCAGTCTTGCAAACTTCGTCTTGTCGTGGCATATGTGGTGTGTTGCACCACTGTCGACGGCCCACATTCCGAACACGTACTTCTTTGCTGAAAGTCCACACTCTAGCGAAACTGCAAACGCTACTTGATCGTAGTCGCTGTCTTCATCACGATATTGTCCCCACTGGACATTGTTTCCCCCGCGTCCACGACCATTGCCGCCGCGTCGGGCTCCTCGACTTTCATTCTTCAGCTTGGTCCAACAGCGATCGACGGTGCGTCCCACCTTCCCACAGTAGGTGCACTTGTATGGCTCGCGCTCAGTGTTGAAGGACTTGGCTGTATCTTCAGTTTTGACCATCGTCGCTGTTGTTGTCACCTTCTCCCCTTGGCACTTGGTGTGCTCATTCGTGAGCACTTTCACCACATCTTGGGTACGAAGCTCTACGCTGCTCATCTCCAAGTTTAGTATAACGTTCTCAAAACTTTTAGGGAGACTGAGCAGAAGGCAAATTGCGACGTCCTCGTCCTCCATCTTTGCACCGATGCTGCTAAGCTTGGCGGTGATGTTCAGGACCTCGTTGCAGTGATGCATGACGTTGGCGCCTTCATCCATCTTCAGGCTGAAGAGTTGACGCTTGAGGTAGATCCTTCCCGCTTTCTGGGACCCACCGTACAGCACCTTCAGAATTTGCCACGCAACCCACGCTTCCTCGCAGTTTGTCAACCATATGGTGGTAGTCCGCACCCATGTGCAGCAACATCATTTTAAACGCGATGTTGCTGGCCTTGACGTAGTCGTCCTGCGCTCGAGGGTCCACGAACGTCGGGGAGCTCTCCCGGTTGACCACATGCCACACCGACTTGGTGAGGAACACACCACGCATGTATCGACTCCAAGTCGCATAGTTGTCCCCATCGAATTTATTGATGGAGACGTTGGAGGATGCGTGGGCGGCAGAAGACATTGCGCTTGGGCCCATAACCTGTTAAAAGGTATGACACGGGAGTGACGAGAAGACCGGAAGAGACCGGAGGGAGCGAAGAGGCTTGAGGAGCGGAGCAGAGAAGACTTGCTCGGCAGAAGGAGAATTCGAAAGTGATTGATTATCGGGGCTTAGTACTTACTACATGATTTATATGTACACCACATATAAATCATGTGAAGCGTCTCATCATTCTACGCGTCTAATCAACTATGGTAACTACGTAAGAACTGCGTCGTAAATACTAAGCTGAACAGGCGGTTCGGATTGGACCGGTCACGGTTACCAATACTGGTAGGAAACCGATGACCGTCAACAATTAGTATTCGTTGCAAAAAGAATGAACTTCTCGTATTACGTCTAAGGCCATATTTATATCAGCCGGAGAAGATATTGTTTAATGGATTTTAAAAAAAATCTCGGTATAAACTCCAATCAACGGTTGTTGCTAGTTCATTTTAAAAATTTAGTAATTTAATTTTTTTTTGATTTCTGAGAATTGTTTTCTTCTTATTTAGTTAATTAAGGCTGTTGATTTGTTATTTATTCGACCTTCTTGTGACGAAACTCGACGTTGGTGTGGACGACACCAAACACTAACTTCTCGTTTGTTTCAAGCAAACAAACGGCTCGAGATGCTGCGTCGGGTGTGGCAGCGAGCAGGTATGTGGCAGTCACCCGACGCGGTTCTATTGCGCCGTTGCTGTTAATGCACAGGACTGTGTGCTGCCGCGTCGACAAGATCGGTCCTCGCCACGCGCTTCGGCGCTGCGTCCGCGCGCGCGGTCGCCAGTCAATCAGACGCTGCCGAAAAAACGCTCCGCAGTCCGAACCAATTGAACGTTCTATTGTCCAATCAAACGCCGCCCACGACTTTTGTAGCCACTTGTCGCGCGTTGCGCATCATTGACGAGACGGCGCTATTGATGACGATTGACGTCCGACGTGGAACGTGGCACTGCAGCGACGACTGGAGGCTCAAGACGAACGCGTGGCAGCGGAGCTCTTGGGTCTAATCGCGAGTTGTAGTTGCGAAAATGCAAGTGTACCCATGTGGACCGATTTGTTTTTTACAGTGTGACGACAGCGTTCTTTACGCGGGTTTCGAACGGATGAGATGCAGGAGCTCTTGAGACAGTTGAAGCGGAGATACGGACCGCACTTTGTAGCCCGCGTGCTCGTAGACGTGGTCATGGCTGTGCCAATATCAATATGTTTGCATCTGCTCACGAGCTGCTGCTGTATCAGCAGACGTTGTGGTCGGAGATTTGCTCTGGTACTACTACTACAGACGAGACATTGACGACGGGGTGGAGCGAGCAGAGTAAAGCGCTGATGCCGCCATCAGTGGTTGGCCACTTGATGGCCAAGATGATGCACAGGAAGAAGCACGGTCAAGTGCTGGCGCTTGCACGCACGTAGTTTGCTAGTGCCGCGTTCGATCCAGTGCGAGATTTCCAGCAGCAAGGGTTCCTTGAACTGTTTAAAGCAAGTGTGTACACACAACAGAGTCCGAGGAATGTGGTGCACGTGTGTTCGGACTATGTGGAGGGAACGTGCCGTGCAGCAGGAGGCAAGGTGGAGAGAGTGAGGACACGAGTGCTCGAGCGAGGCTTTGGAGCTGCGATTCACTGCTGTGTAAAGTTTGATGAATATTCGCTGGCGTCGCATTGTTATGAAGTGATGGAAAGCACACGAGAGAGGCTCGTTTGTGCTGGGGACGGCTTACCGGTGGACGACGCGATCGATGAAGCTGCAGAGAGGGTTGGTATCGTGGATGAAGTGCTGCTAGCTGATGAAAATATATACGTCAACGTGTTGAAAGCATGTATGGAGATCGAGGATTTCTCCACGTTTAAAGATGCGTTCCGCGGGATGGTAGCTCGAGGTGTGGCTCGTAGTGCTGGATTCGGGTCAGCGATTCGTTATTGTCACAAGCATTTGGATCCAGTGTTCCTTGAAGAAGTGTTGGACGGGGTATTCTGGACAGAACAGAAGCTTGCAGGTGCCTGGACACTAGAGGTAGAAAACTGTAACGATGCGCTTGGCTGTTTTGCCGCTACGAAAAGACCGGACCAAGCCAAGGAGCTGTTCTCGCAAATGCTGAACAACTCGTTGATAGTGACCGGCATATTACGATGCTTGAGATGGTGGAGAGTCACTGCAACGCCTCAATCGAGGAGGTGTTTCATCTCTTGGACGTGTTTCTTGAGTGGAAGCTAACATCGAATCTTCAGGTGTTCACATCGCTGCTGTCCATCTACATGCGCCGTCGTGAAGTAGGCAATGCTGTTGCGCTCATTGGTGCGATGGAAGAGCATGGTATCGTTCAGGATGTGAAGGCATTAACGACTGTGGCGTTCATTCATGCATCTCGCGGTGACTGAAGGCTGTGGGAGACGTTTTACGAGATGTGGCGAGTCAAGGTGTTGCTACCGACAGGATGTTCTTTGACTACGTCCTCAACGCACTGTACGGGTCGTGCGGTGTCGACATGTGTTCTCGCTCTTGCGTGAGCTGAGTGCAAACGAGCTGGCGATTCCAGACGGGCTGTACATCTCGCTAATTGATCCCGGGACCACGCTTGGTTTACTTTGTAGTGGTACGCGTGACATGTGCATTTTCTTGTGTTCAATCGGCGTTGGAACCTACGGAAAACATGTACTCAACAACCGATCAGATTCGAGAGCGCGTACTGTGTCAACATCGAGAAACGTAGCAGCCATTGCTACACGAACAATGCATGAACCAATGTACAAGTCGTTGCTGCGTCAGTACTTTTACCATGCAATGAATTCACTTTTACACCTCGGGTGCCCTCATGTTACAATGAAGCCGACACGACCACATCCCCTGCTTGAGTCTGCTCACTAGTCCTTCTCCTTTGCTCAATGCTACTTTCACGCACCAGGCTGCCAGAGGCTTCAATGTGACTTGACGTTTCCATTCGTGACCACACTTGTCCGCACCCCGCTGGTCGTGACTTAGTTTTTCATCCGAAGCATTGACTACCACGAACGTGCGAATGAACCTGAATCTTACCGGCGTGGACGTGGCTCCAAGAAAACTGTCAGCTGTGTCGCTCCAGCCGGATCGACTTGCAGCTGTAGAAGCGAATTAGACGAGTTGAACAGAATAAGAATATATTCGCGTTTACAGAAGGCTGTCGCATCAGTACAGAGTATTGTTACTGTGACTGCGCATGTTTCTTGAGTACGCTTTTATTGTTAACATCAACAAAGTCGCGAACCATGTTTAACAGATAGATATATTAAAAAACGTTTATCGCTAGACTACGGGCTAAGACATTGTAAGTGTAAACTAGTCGACACTTGAGTTGGTTGAACAGAACGAATCAGCTCGATCGTAGTGGCTCAATTGGCGTTGGCGCTTGTTCTTTAAATGGAGCAGTGTCCGGCTGTACCACGTCCTATCTTCACCATCTTCATCAGGATCGCGAGTAGCAACGAGCTGTGTGAACTCGTTGGTATTAATCTCGTTGCAAATAGGCTTCAACTTGAACCTGTTCACCGGATGGGCATCTGCCATACCTGCTTGGGTAGCATGGCACTTGTTGTGCCTGCGTGTTTCTTTTAGCGGGCGCAGTGCGTGGCTACACCCAATGGTGCAGTGCTTCTCATCACTTGAGCGCAGCTTGGTGAGCTGGTTGAAGTCCCAGTCAGTGGGACTAACGCTCTTCTCGTAGATGCCGCATGCTTTGGAAGCAATCTCCGACAGCACACTCAGCACATGACGGATGCTCACTTCAACGAGGTTGTACAAGCTCTGGATCTCGATAGTAATCCACTAGTAAACACATGCACACAGAAGAGAAACGTCAGCAACAAATAAATTGATAGATCGAGAAATGAATCATGCACTCACCATGATCATTCAAGCTGGTGAAGTTGTTAACGCGATTGTGTTGAAGACTCGAGTGTTGCTGATGTCGATTTTTTCAGAATGAAGTCGTCCTCGCTCATGCCTTTGCTCCGACCCGTGAGATGCACCGACCCAAGTCTGCGACGTGCGAGTAAGTACGCATTTCTCTCACCAATCAGGCATACTCTCCATGCTTGTTCAACCCATCAAGCGACTAAACTTCCTGCAGTCTCTTACTTCTCTTCTATACTGAGGTCTGGTCATCTCATGTACCTCGTCCCAAGACCGACTACATGGCTCACGTCATCTTTACCTACCTGGCCTATAGAATAGTAGTCAAAATAAGTAAAATAAACACCTGCAGAACGTCATCTCCAGTCAGCACTCTCTGCATGATGTCAGCACTCTCTACATTCAGTCACTAGTCTCTGATATCCTTTCACCTAAGTGACGTTAAGAGTTGCCGCGGGAGCGTTTCAGATTCTATTGTTGATCGAATGCGTACACATGTGGCATTTTCGACAGAAAACACGGTCTCAAGTCACGCGCAGCAGCAGATGAGCCCTTGGGCTGATTATGGCAGTGAACGAAACGACACGAGTAATCAACTTGATGATTACGATGACGGTTACAAAGCGGACGTTGAACAGAGGTGCTGCTCGCCCAATTGAATGGATCATCGAGCTCTTGTAGCAGTCAAATGATTGAAAGTCGGTGGCAGTAAAGGAGACGACAACTGGTGAGGTGCAAATGACAAAGGAGACGCCAAAGAAGACCACAAGACAGAAGGCGAACGAAAGTGCACAAATCTGTGCTGCATTCTTCGGTTTCGCGTGATTTGGTGCCGCACATTCATTATCGTAAACGTCATCCTGTCAACACTGCAGAAGGTTTTCATCTCGAGACAAAGCTCTCGTGGTCGTGTGTTTGGAACCCACGCTGCTTGCGTTGACTCACTCGCTCTTGCACTTCGACAAAGTCACGGCAGCTGAGCTAGACCTCGATCCAGATGCTGGGAAGTCCACTGTTGAGCTCGTTCAAGCGCGTGGCTACGTAGTGGAGACGCACAATGTCACGACAATAGATGGATACATCCTCTCCATACATCGCTTACCAATGTCGTACAGAGAAAGCCAAGCAGATGCCAACAACAACGACAAGGCAGACCGAAACAAACCAGCTGTTTTCGTCCAGCATGAAATGGTGGCCAGTAGTTTCGCATGGGTGTGCGACTCCCGGAACCACAGTCTCGCCTACGTGCTTGCTGATGCTGGCTACGATGTCTGGCTTGGGAATAATCGCGGCAATACGTACTCGTCCAGCCACGTTAAGTACACGACCAAAGACACTGCGTTCTGGGACTTTTCATGGGAAGACATGGGCAAGTTTGACGT